CGCGTAACCGTGGAAACCGCCACACTCTCCCAACTTTCTAATGGACACAGTTAGTTAAGGTAGACGACAAAAAGCGCACAGATCCGGGGGAACGACCAGATGTTCAGGCGAGGGATTTAGACGGGGAGGAAAAGAGTTTGACTGCTCCCTGAGTGATAGCCATCTCAGTTATGACTTTCAGTGATGATGATGATGATGCAGGCGTGATGAGGGACCTGCAGGTGCCAGTGTTCAGGTGTTCAAGAGGACACACAGAGAATAGTTTTGGTCATATATGTAGTTAAAAAAGCAGTGAAAATGACAACACAAATATGCTTTGTTTTTCTAATTTACATATCCTGTAAACAGGTTTGTTCTGTTTACGGAGCATCAGCTAACCTAGTTAGGCTGGAGTTCATCGTTGTAGCTGAGCTGAACTTTGCCAGTAGTTGTAATATTATATTTGTTTTGCACAAGACAGTATTTACTGTAGGTCTGCAGTGTGTGTGTGTGTGTGTGTGTGTGTGTGTGTGTGTGTGTGTGTGTGTGTTATTGATAAAAGATGTTAAAAGATGTAGAAAGTGAGAAGTCATTACTGATAGAATATGGAAAGGAACAGGAAAAGGACATGACTGAGGGGTAAACTTTGCAAGTGTTGCTATAGTAGAAAGATGGATGGATGGATGGATGATGGATGGATGATGGATAGATAGCGATTATTAATCCCTCAGGCGTTCCCTTGGGGAAATTTAGTTTTTTTGTTGTTGTTTTTTTTTAGTACGAATGTCTTAACACAATGATGCTAACGATATTTTAGAAGCTTAGTTAGTACTGAATCCTTGGATCTTTGCACCTTTGATCTAGAAACAGAAGTTTTTACACATTACTAAATTTAAATTTGACTCCAGGGTGACTTCTATAACAAACATTTGTTTGTCCTTGCCTTTTTCCCTTTCCCAGACAAACAAACAAACAAAAGAAACACCTGACACATTTCTTCTAAGGGTTTAATCCGACTTCAACTAAAATATACCTCTCTTTGATGTTAAGCAAGAACACTGGCTGTGTGATGGTGAAACTATTGTTTGTGTCCTGCTCTCTCATATAGAAACAAATCAATTCTATCATATTTTTCATTTTTATCCCACTGTATCGATATCACTTTGCTGGAAGGGTTTGCTTCTACCTAAAAACTCAAATGTTTGTGAGGAAGAAAGTTTTCGCTATTTGGTGCCAAGAAACTATGCTAAAAAAAAAAAGAAAAAAAATCTATCTCCATCCACATGAGCCAAGTTTCTCCTGCCTGGTTGCTTCTTCTTTTTTTTCCTCTCAGAGTGAAATTCCTATTTTGGACTTTCATTGCCAAAGCTGATGAAATGCTGTTGACTCACACCTGGACATGGATGATAAGCACCGGAGTCACTGTTGAAAGAGCTGCTGAGCCGCTGAGCTGCTGTCAGGATGGATGTGGAGACCTATCAGAGCACAGGTCCTAACATGTTGCCCTGGGCCACAAACCGACTTCCCACGGCCAAGTCACTCTCTCCATTTTTCAGTCACAGTCCTCTGAGCATGCCAATGACTTTTCTATGAGTCATCTGCCTCCAAATGCCCTGCTATTTAGCATCGCTTTGAAGGAAACAGCGTGAGTGAGTGTGATGGAGTCAGCCTCTCTGCTTGCATCATTTTCAGGCCGTGCTTTTGAGCATCCCTACAATTTCCAGTCTTGGAAAAAAAGGACTTTTTAAGTTTTTCCGAATCCAGGCTGTGTGTTTCTGTCTCCAGTTGGCGCTATGCTTCACAGGTCACTTGTTAGCTCTCTTTTGTGTGATGATTTATTATTCACTGCTACATTCGGAGGTGCAGCAGTAATTGCAGCATGCCGCAGCAACGCCTGCATCTGATGACAGCACAAATGAATGAATAAATCTCAGTAGCTCAGCTATTTGAACAGGTGACATTTACTGATGAGGCAATTAAGAGAGCAACGTGCTAACACGCGGCCGCCTTTACATGTGGCTGATCCAGGAACAGTAACAGCAGGCTGCCCTCTTGGTTTTAACACAGAACAAGGTATGCAACAATTCTCACCCTCTGTTTACAAACATAAAGCCTCCTTTTTCAAATGTAAAGCCTTAGGGTACAAACAATAATGCAGCCCCCCTTCTGTACACACCAAGTAATTGAAAAAAAATAGACATCCTATGTTTTAAATTGTGTTTATAAGGTGTTCCACAAGACAAAAAAACAATTGGATATCGCCACATTGCAGCTAGCATCGTAGCTAGCCTTTACTTTTTTAATAGAACTGTTACATTTCTTTTCTCTGTTCACTAGTTTTTGTTTCTCACTGTTGTTTTATTAAATGAGTGACTTTGACACCAATATTTTGGTGGACTGCACTGGAAACGAAGGAAGGAAATGACTGTTGACGTCATACGTTGCATGATCTCCGTGTTGATTCTGTGAAGTGGGAGATGAGTCACTGATAATAAAAATACAGATTTTGGATTTTGGATTATTGGAACCAAGACAACCTTTGTGTTTGTGACTGAGCCTAAAGAAAATCGGATCCATTTTACTGTCAAATCACATCATGTCAGTGGTTTTTTCACGTGTTCGGACAAAAGACAGAAATGATATCGTCCTGTTGCTAGGGGAAAAAAATCATTTCAATGGATGTGAGGCATAATTGTAGATAAAGACCACAATTAGCTGGTAAAGACCAGTTCTGACCTCAGTTCCAGCCAATGATGAGAAGATTGCATGTCAGGGTTCATTATGCAGCTGCCACTTCAATCACGTCAGAGGATTTTCATCAGCCAGACTTGGTTTGATTCACTGCAGTTGTTGATGCTTTCAGTTCCGCGGTGTGAGTTCTGCTTTGGTTCTGCTCCCTCTCTTTTAGTGTGTTTTATTGTTTGTTTTTTTGTTAGCAGAAATTGCTGCAAATATATCAGATAATATTACAGTAAAATAATAACAAAGAATTGATTATTAAAATTAAACAATTGTGTTAATCCAGGAAGGATAGGAATTATTTCTGACATATTTCTTCCCCCTTTGAAATATCGTTTGGCCGTTCTGTGTAATTTGTATTGAATTTTTATTGATTTTATACCTTCTGTCTAAATTGTTACTACTTCTGGTCTGGACCATGAACCTTTTGTTAGCTTTTAGCATCTCCTGCTTATGTATTCTACGGCTACGTTTGAGCTAAATTTGAAGTATATCTGTCTGACATGTCATTGTTTTATGATATCACCAATATAAAATGTTCTTGTTTAATGTTATATCTAAAAGCTTGAATGGAAAATAAGCAGCCAATTAGCCAGTTAAACGTCTGTGGCACAATTTAGCATCAAAAAAAGAAATGAACCCATGTTCCAATATGGTCTCAATCTCCCAATCATCATTATCTGTGAGCAGCACCTCCGAACCTTGACCTACTTCTCACCTGTGTGCATTTAATGGGTTTCCTCATAATGAAAACACACACACACACACACACACACACATTTCCTGTAACTGATGTGAAAACAAAGATTACCTAACGATACTCTTTCCTGTGACGGCTTGGTCAGAGATTTGTCAGGGGTGCTGTTTCAAATATTCAAATGTAACTCGATAGATTCTGCACATTCTCATGAGTCGGCAAAGACGAAAAAGAAATGTGATCAGACTGTTTATGTCTGTACAGATCTGTATGCATTGTCATCATTGGTGTGAACATGATCTGCCCGGGCTTCTCTGGAAGGTAATTTAACATTCTGCTGTGACGTGGGACCCGAGAGCTTTTCTGATTGAAATCCACTGCAGTAATGAATCCTCTCTGGGCAGGAGTTTGGTTGGTTCTTTACTGGGACTTTTTTGAAGCAGTTGGTACAAAACTCAAACTGACACGCAGTGGTAAACAGAGCAGAAATGTTATCGTAGCTGGTTATGGCCTAGTGGGAATCTTTCTGTCATCACACTGCAGGTACCTGTACCTCAGCATCCCCATTATACTACAGTTATGGTGTTGGTTGATGAGCACTAGTATTATTAGATTTGCTGCTGTTGCAGGTGTTGGTAGTTTTGATCGACATAACAACTTTGACAAAACAGTTCTCTGGTTTCACTCTCAATTTTAATTCAAACTCATTTGTTAATTAATTTCTTGGGGCTGGACCTCAGGATCCCAGCCAATCACAGCACAGTCATCAGGCACCGTGACACGGTAAGACCGGGATAGATCTCGCAGGGACGTGTTACTCTGTCTGATTTTTTTTAGACCAGGAGCAGCAAAAACCTTTTGAGCCTTTATATCAAGGGTCCCCAAGCCCCGGTCTAGGGACCGGTGCTGGTCCGTAGGTCAATAGGTACCGGGCCGAAAAAATGTACTCATTTACTTCATTCCAAAAGAATCCAGTCATATCCCTTCACTTTTTTCATTCATAATCTGTTAATGTCATTCAGACTCTGATACTAACTGAATAAAGATGAAACGATGTTTTATTTTGAAACTTTAATGGTCCTTCAACGATGGTGCGGTATTACCGGTCCACTGGTCCATAGTACAGAGGCAAATGAGCCTCAGGTGGCCCGGGAGCCATAGCTTGCGATCCCCTGCATCAGACAGAACCAGTTTGTGGTGTGTTATGTTAATTTTTAAACTGAACTAGAATTGTCTCATTTTGGCTGTTTTTGATTTGAATGTTGACCTATTTTTACAAACTAGCCACAAATGAACCTGTATATTATTTATTTCCTGAAGTACTGTGAAAAGGGAGGTGAATTTTTTTGTTAAATCACAGCCTCAACACCAGGTGTGCGGTGTGACCTCCGATTAGTACCAGGTGTTTCACTTTTGACAGCTGTGTTACCGGTTAGCCTGCGTGTCAACAAATGGATAAAAGTGGGGAAGAGTGAACGACAAATATTCCTGCACCTTTCCCGGTGATTCCTATAAGCAGCCGCATGGACTCAGAGAATCACCCCCACTCTCTCTCTCTCTCTCTCTCCCCCCCCCTTCTCTCTAGCTGGCTCCGCCCCTCGTGTTCAGCTGTGGATGTGAGGAAAAAGGCGAGCAACAATGTGACAGACAACACAAACGCCTCTGATCGCCCTGATCCGCGTCCGTCTGGAATTCTTCTGATTCCCAGTGAGAGCGGAGAGGAAGCCGTGCGGATCCACACACAGCCGCCTGCTCACTGTGCAGCCATCGACCACCAGCGGGAACAACATGGACCTCCGTGCACCCCCATCCTCATCATCCCTATCCAGCACCGAGGACCGACACTCGTTTTAAGGTAAGGCTTTGTTCGCTTTTCCCGCAGCGTTTTTTTTTTTACACGCAGATCTTGCGCACCGCTTCTAAAGCGCGTTGACTGAAGCCGCACATGCACGGGGTGATGTTGACGTCCGCGCGACGGTTCGGGTTTAACGAGCAAGAATCGGGAATTTTTCCCCTCATTATTAAAGCATATCTGCTGATGGAGGAGAACCGGCAGCGGGTGTTCTGTGTGAGAGCGGCTGCACGTTGAAAACAACGGCTACCGTTCGAATGGAGAAAATGGTTCAACAAAGCAGTTTGGAGCGTCTTTGGAGAGTCATGAAGCAGAAGAGAGTTCACTCTCTGCTGGAGGAGGACACTTTACAGTTGGTACCAGTACACAGCACCAGGTTCGATGACAGTGGAGAGTCCATGCAGTGATCAGGCCTGAGAGCTGCTCCACAACTTGAGGAAGAGGAGAGGATGCAGGACTTTTGTGTTCATCATCTTCATCTCATAACTGAACCGGTACAGTTAGAAAAATATTCTCAAATTATTCTTAAAAAGAGAGCTGCATAAAATAATAAAAATGCTTTCATTTAGAGTAATTAAAACGTTCACACAGGAAATTCACACTGTTTATTTCCTCATCCGTCAAGATCTGAAAGCTATGAAGTGTTTTTGTTTTTGTTTTGTTTTAAGGGCAGTGGTGTGTTGGTGTTCAAGGAAGCAGGCTTGGGTCTGCAAGGTTTCTGGTTCAAGTCCACCAGCTGCCCAGCTACCACTGAGGTGCTCTGAGCATGGCACCGTCCCCGGGTGCTTAACGCTGCCCCCTGCTCACTGTGGTGATGGGTTAAAAATGTGGTTTAATGTTTTTCAACACCATATGTTGTCACCTGGAATTTTAAAAACACCACACACACTTCATCTGGTAACTCTTTATTAACAACACTGTAAAACAAACATGATTGAGTCTCTGGGGTCGCCAGAAACGTGATGTCACATGGGGTCACGAGCCAAAAAAGGGTTGGCAGCACTGCATTACCTTTACATTAGGTTGGTGATGGGTCTGGTTTCCAGTGATATGTGAAGTAATGTTTACGGTCATTTATAAAGGTTACGTTTAGCAAAACAAAGGTTAATTCATGCACGTTTCCACCCACTGCTCTCTAACTACTGCTTATTGGAGAGGGGTAAACAGCTGGGGTGAAAACACCCATAATCACAACATGATATGATTTGGTTTTTTTTAACCAAATGAGCTCCAGAGAAATCATGACCAATCACAATGATCCTTTTTAACTCTCAATATATTAAACAACCAAAGAGTCGTAACTGTAACGAGTTTCCTGTCTGTGGTAGAAGTTCTGTGTGAACACCTGAATGTCACTCAGGCTTCGTAGGGAACAAAATATACACATGAATCAACAGAAGTCTTTTCAGTCTAGTATTACTAGTGTGTAGTGTGACGGTATGAGCTGAGGCTATTAGAGATAACACAGCATAGGTCTAACACCTTGATGCGTGATTATTTTTCATTTAAACTGATGTGAATCAGCATACATTTGATCGATTTTTAACTGATTTGCGACGTATAGTTAAAAAGTCAAGTCATTGGTGCAAAATCCCAAAGAAGCGTAAAGAGCTGCCAGTTCATTGTATTTGCTCTTGCTTTCAGCCTTGTGTAAAGATTCTGTCTTCTTGCATTGTATGTAGGTTTTCTCCACTTTTTGTCTCTGGTTTACCGTCACATTCATTTTGGAGTGAATGTCAATGTCGCTGGTTGTGTTTATCCAAACGTCCCCTGAGGATTTGCTCAACACTCGTCCTTGCTTCCCATTGTTGTTGAAAATATACTGCATAGGTTCCTTGGAGTAGTGTAGGGGATGAGTGGTTTTCCCTCCCTGTGCTGAGGGTTTTGCACTATTTAACAAATGCTTCCTTCACATCCTCGTCACAGCTTGCAGCATTACAATTAGTAACCTCAACATATCGTCTCAGCTTTACAGCAAGCGCAGAGGTGCTACGTTTCTTAATCACCTCAGGATCGCAGCCTGTGAAAAGGAGGCAAAACACACACGTGTCAAGGGTAATTAAGGTGTCTTTTTTCCTGTATGCGAGTGTGTGTATGTGACTGAGGGAGGGGGTTCAGATTGGGATGTCCTTTTGAAGTCTCTCAGACACGTCTGCTATCAGCATAAAGAAAGTGGAAGTTTGTCACTCAGGGCTGTCGGGGCTTTATCTCGGTGTCACTGAAGGGCGTGATTGCATCACTCTAAAGAAAAAGTGGCAGAGGTGAGAGGAGATGGAAACTCATTAGCGTCTGAAAAAGCAACACACTCAGGCCTCCGCGCTCGTCTGAAGGCAGGTCTGGTTCCACTTTTTTCGTCCTCTCTCCTGTGCTGCATGGAGGACACACTGGGAGGTTCTCTCCAGGTTAACGTGTCGTTGCGTCAGGAAAGTCTCACTTAGTGTTTCTGTATCTGCAACTTTCCAAGGCTGCTCTTTGAGGTTGTTGTGAGGAATTCTGAAAGGAGAGTCCTACACGGTATTGCTCCCGCTGTCGTTGGGATGGAGGCGCGTGTTTGAACGAACCATAAATACGTCATTGTTTATGTCAGTTTTTCCATTCACATCTTGTTAAACTGGTTTGAAGCAGCTGCCGTTCACCAGGGTTGGTGTCTATCCAGAGTGTGTGTTCCTTGGTCTCTGCAGTGTTTGTCCAGGTACCCCAGCCTGGTGTCCTTCCACAGTCCAAAGACATGCAAATGAGGCTGAGATTAATGAGAGACACTTGATCAATTGACCATAGGTGCAGATTTGAATATGAATGGCTGCCTCTGTCTCGCTGCTTTGTCCTGTGGGTCTTTGTGCGGGAATGCAAATGTTCAAAGAAGTCAGTGTGGAGATTCTTCTGCCAGCCCCTGATCTCCAGTCAGTGTCCAATCAGGGGAGAAATGGAGCAGGAGAATATCTGTGTAGAACAGTCCCAGCAAGTGAATGGCTGAGTGTCCTGCTTCCAGTATGAAACAGTTCAGACTCAGCACCCACACATGAATCCTCTGGAGACCGTTGTTGTGAAGGTTTCCCACTTCAGTCGTCCCATGTGAACAGCAGACTACAGAGTAAAGTGCGGAGTCTCCTGGAAGTCTTCAGGCATGAATGGATTTTCTGAAAACAGCAATTTGACTGCATTCTTTGGTATCCCATCCACACAAGTGTATCTCACAGTAAAGAAAACACTAAAGTATTTTTAAAGCCTCCTAAAGACTTCTTTAAGTCTCCGGGAAGTGAGCCAAGAATGTTTGACTCTAACTCTATTGGTGTAGGGACCAGGGAAGGTTGGAGTTTTGAGACTTTGTTACATCTCAGTGGTTTGTGACAAATCATGTCTGTATCTGAGAAACTTTTATGAACAGTATAACTAACAGCTAAACTGATTTGCTCCCACAGAATTTGGTAGTGTGTGCCATCCGGCCTAGACCTGTGCAAATATTTCCACCCAGGTTCATGAGTTCAGGGAACTCCATATAAAGCAAGAAAACGGTCCTGAGTCATTGTCCAACAAGAGGAAAACTTTTATTCCTGCCTGTGTAATGACTAGGCCCAGTTAATGTTTTACATCAGTGATATGTGAGCAGTTTGTCCAGTGTTTATACTGACCATCCTTTAACGTCAGCGTCGGTCGACATCAGCTCCCCTCACGGCTCTGAAGAGCAGAAATTAAGCAAAGCAGCGATGCTTTTATTTGCATTAAGAGCACATTATGGAAGTGCTAATGGTTCGTGCGGATAAGCACAGCCAGCGCTTGAATGTGCTGTGATTGAGCTGCTTTCCAAACATTTGCCTTGGATTATTCTGCCGACCGACCATGTGTCGGAATACAAAGCCCTGCAAGAGTAGCAACGCACATTTCCCTGCGCTTAGCATAACCGCACTTTAGTGAAATCTTTGAACAATTGTCCGAGTCAAGCGCCTGAGAGCGAATGCAGAAACAGACTCTCAGACTACCTTTGCTTTGAATCTGCGTGCCATCGTATGCCTTTATGTCCCAGATATTCTTATACTGAACTCTCACCTGTCTGTTGTATACAGCCAGCCAACCCCAGACCCAATCTTCTAGCAATATCTGAAGCACCTGTCTATTAAAAATGGCTTTGAAAACGTCTTCCCTTCAGCCCATGCACATAATCTAATCCCTGCTTCACACTGAATTGTATCCTTTGTCTCCACCTCTGGATTAATATTGCCTCAGACGGAGCAGGCTGACCCTGTACGTACAGACAGAGGGCAGGTGTGCACACCAGCAGCTTTATATGTCGCCTCTAACCATATTCCATTCTAATTTTGCCGTGGTATAAGAGAGCAGAGAGATTTCGCACACACTGATCAATATAGGCCAAAGTCATTTGAGATGCTCACAACAGAATTAGTGGCACTGTGATTGGCAGGTTGGCAGTCCCGTGGATCGTCCCCACGAGACTGGGCTCCGTCAAAAAACCAAAGGAGAAAACAGAGATTTATCTGCGCACTAAAAATTTTATGCCTCCAAAATTTAATGATGAAGTCGTGAACCAATATTTTCAGACATTATCATGCACAGTACCCCACAGCAAAGGCTTTAAAACACAATTCTACTAAAGGGAGAAGAACCAGTCTCTAGGGGTGGATTTAGGAATTATTGTTTGCTCTCACTGTAGAAAGCAAAAGCCAACAGAGTTTCCCCTTATGGAAGGACCAGACTGTTATTTACCCCAAAAAGTAAAAAAAATATTTATTTTTTATCACTGTTTAAAAAAACGTCTCTACAGCTTTTGAATAAAAATAAAATATAAAAATACAAAAATAAATTTGTACTGTCAGAAAAATTGACAAAAAATAAGTTCAAACCTTGAGGTCAGAGCCTCAAACACAGAAAGTCAAAGTGGTGTTCTGATTTTGTTATTCCAGTAGTTCCCATTTCTTTAAGCTTCTGTAGTGTCGTCTAAAGCGTTCTCTGTGAATCGCTGTTACCGCATGTACAGCCATGAAGGCACT